GCGTCACTTCCTGTGAAGCAGGTGGAGGTGCGCTCCAGCCGCGTCACTTCCTGTGAGGCAGGTGGAGGTGCGCTCCAGCTGCGTCACTTCCTGTGAAGCGGGTGGAGGTGCGCTCCAGCCGGTCAGGAGGCTTTAAGAACACGTCTCCAGAGACCATGACGGGCTCAGAGTTTGTTTCTCTGGATCCTTCAGTGGAATGTGCTCAGAGTAGCAGTAAGCTCATTTTAAGTTTCATCGGGGTTTCAGTCAGACTCCATGTTAGCCCGTTAGCCCGTTAGCAGCCGTCTGGCTCCTCAGCACCGAGTCGTAGAAACAGTCCTCGTTGACGATGGACGTCATGCTCTGAACGCTGAAGTCCTTTTCCAGAAAGGTGCTGAAGTCCAGCACTTCTCCTGCAGGGCGCCGTCTCAGACTCGAGCTTCTCTTCGTCTCCTCGTCCTCGGTGAAGTTCAGCCGCTGCAGCTGAGCCTCCAGCTCGCCCGTCAGGGAGCAGAGTCTGGTTCTCCTCTCAGAGGAGGTGCTGCCGGAGGTGGAGCGGCTGGGCAGCAGAGGCTCCGAGCAGGTTTCATTCAGGACGCCGTTGGGTCTGCAGCTCCCTTCCGTCAGATGAGGAGGTGTCCTCTGGAGGTCGGAGGGACCACGAGGCTGCCTCCTCCTCCACGTGCCGCTCCTCTCAGTTTTTGACAGTTTGGATCTCCTCAGGGAGTCGCCAGGCCCTCGGTCTCTGAGGAGGTAGCCCAGAACTCGGAGCACGCTGGCCTTTGTCTCCAAACAGCTGAAAGACAAACAGCAGAAACTAAACCTGGCAACAGATTTCCTTCTTGAACTGCTCCAGGACACAGAAACACAGAAGAGACATTTAGTCCTCAGGACGGTACCTGCTGCTCAGCTGGAACACCGTCTCGGGTCGACCTTCGACCTCTGACTTACTGTGAACCAGCTCCCACACACACGAGTCGTCAGAGCCTGAAAACACAAAGCAGTGAGCCGGACCAACGCACACAATAACACACACCGGCATGTGAACCGTCACCAACCTGGGATGTTGGCCGGTCTGGTCTGTAGAGCTGAAACTGGGATTAACCAGCGGAACCTGAAGGGGTCCAGATCAGCAGAGCGGGAGTTCGTCTGTTACAACAAATTACACACCAGCTGTTTTATTTTGTTGTTGCTGGATAAACAACGTGCACACGATGGTCTTTACTACAGTGGCACCAACGGGCTGAGCCAGCACTCGGATCCAAGAAGTCTTGATTGCACAATATAAAGCTCCCGAGTCACAATAAACCATGAAAGATGGAGAACTCCACTCACCATCCTCTTCTTCAGTTTGTTGTTTTCACGATAAACCAGGATAACGGCTCGCTTGAACACTGAGGAAACAGCAGCTCAATTACTCAAACTGTATCTGGTAGAAGTACACAATACGGCCCGGTATTACACGGTGCAGACCTGGAACTTACAGCGAGGGTACCGGATACGTACTGGGAACATACTTCTTACTTACTGTAATTTCCAGACTATAAGCCGCTACTTTTTTCACAAGCTTTGAACACTGAGGCTTGTACAATGATTTTTGCCGGGATAACGAGCTTCCTGCCACCAAGGGTGGGGTCCGAGATGGGGTAGAGGCAGGGTAGCTGACCTGGGACCCCAAAGTCCCGGTTCGAGCCTCAGCCATTCCCACATGTCGTGGTGTCTCTGAGCAGGACACCCAATCCCCAATTTCTCCCTGGGCACTTACACAGCTGCCCGCTGCTCCACCTGGGTGTACCTCAGGTGCCATGGGAACATACCATGATGACAACACATAGCACTTTATTCATTATTATTAAAACATTTAGCCTCGTCACACCTGGGCGCCCACATACTTGCCCAACGCACGTCTCTCCTGGGGGGCGGGGGGCATTGTGACTCAATGAGACCGCCTGTATAAATAAAAGGAAAAAAAATCTTACCAATAGGTCACAGTGGAACTCTGTTTCAGTGGTCCACTGGAGGGGGGGACTTTATTATTTTCCCCCTCACCGTTCTCTCCTCCCCATCCCAGTTGTGCCCCCAGGGAGGGGGGCACAGTGCACAGGAGGAAGAAGAAGAAAGCGATCAATGACTTCCTGGTAGGCTACTGCGTTTTAATTTTTTTTATTTGACCAGCCGGGATGAAGATCAGTTCCTCCAAATCCGAGGCCATGGTCTTGAGCCGGAAAAGGGTAGAGTGCCCTCTCCGGGTCAGGGAGGAGGTCCTGCCCCAAGTGGAGTTTAAGTATATTGGGGTCTTGTTCACGAATGAGGGAAAAATGGAGCGTGAGAGGCGGATAGGTGCAGCGTCTGCAGTGAAGCGGGCGCTGTGCCGGTCTGTCGTGGTGAAGAGAGAGCTGAGTCAAAAGACAAAGCTCTCAATTTACCGATCGATCTACGTTCCTACCCTCATCTATGGTCACGAGCTTTGGGTTGTGACTGAAAGAACGAGATCCGGATACAAGCGGCTGAAATGAGTTTTCTCCGCAGGGTGTCTGGGCTCTCCCTTAGAGACAGGGTGAGAAGCTCGATCATCCGGGAGAGACTCAGAGTAGAGCCGCTGCTTCTCCACGTTGAGAGGAGCCAGTTGAGGTGGCTCGGGCATCTGGTTAGGATGCCTCCTGGACACCTCCCTGGTGAGGTGTTCCGGACACGTCCCACCGGGAGGAGACCAGAGGAAGACCCAGGACACGCTGGAGGGACTATGTTTCTCGGCTGGCCTGGGAACGCCTCAGGATTCCCCCGGAAGAGCTGGCCCAAGTGGCTGGGGAGAGGGAAGTCTGGGCCTCCCTACTTAGGCTGCTACCCCCGCGACCCGACCCTGGATAAACGGAAGAAAATGGATGGATGGATGAACAGCTGTGTTACCGGCACTGTTCAGATAAAAAAAAATTACTGTAGTACTTGTGTATGTTACCGGTACATATTGTAGTATTCTGCTGTGGTTGACTGCTGGTCACATGGCCTCAGGGAGGGATTATGGGTAAAATATGTTCATTGTTAATCATTTCAGTTAGATGTTTAGCGTTGTTCTTTTAGAGGTTAGTTTGTTCTTGTTGGACAAGTTCATGTGTTCATCATGTGTTAGTTCATGTGTTCATCATGTGTTAGTTCATGTGTTCATCATGTGTTAGTTCATGTGTTCATCGTGTGTTAGTTCATGTGTTCAT